AAACGTCAGCCTTCCTGCTCCTCTGATGCTGCTTGGCCTGCTGTGTTCATCCAGCTCTGCACCTTGTTATCTCAGATTCTCCAGCATCTGCAGTTCCTGCTATCTCTGTAAAGGAAAATGACTTTTTTTGAGATCTCAGAGAAAAATCTCTTGATGAACGATGAATATCTGAAATATCAACTTGCCATTTCTCTTTAAGTAACACTGCTATGTATTTCCTTAAAACGGCATAACGTATATATAATAATCCCTCTCACCAGGCATCTCAAAGGATGTAACAGCCAATGAAGCACTTTGGAAGTACAGTCATTGTTGTCATGTAGCAGACAGAGCTGCCAAATTGCTCAAAGCAAACTCCCACAAACATCCTTCTTCCTTTGGGATTTTGGGTAATTTGCTTCCATTCTGGTTCAAAGGGTCTGAAATGGCTGACAGGTCAATGTAGGATCTGCACACTCTGCCATGTCAGGGGTCAAATGGTGCTTGGATTGTCAGGTAGGTGAATTGTTTGGGGACGAGTGCTGTGCACAACACCTTCACTTCCCACCTGCATGTTCCTGATGAAGTCTTTCAGTATTTCCAGTGCTGGCCTGAATGAACTCTTGGTTGGTCAACAAGTCCCATGAGTTCTTGATGATTTCTTCGAGGGTACTTTAAGGACATCCCTCAGGCACTTTCACCATCCTCATGGGAGTCTCCTGTTGTGAATGAGTTCTGGGTAGAGCAGTCCATATCATCCTTACAGTATGGAAGCAGGCCATTTGACCCATCAAGTCTGCATCAGCCCTCTGAAGGGCATCCCACCCAGACCAACCCTGGTACCCTATCTCTGTAATCCTGTATTCCCCATGGCTAATCCACCTAACCCTACATATCCCTACAGCCAATTGGTGTGGCCAATCCACCTAACCTGCAATCTTTGGACTATAGTAGGAAGCCAGAGCACCTGGTGGACACCCACGCAGACACAGGGAGAATGCACAGACTCCACACTGCCAGCCACCCAAGGCTTCCGTCAAACCCAGGACCCTGGTTCTGTGAGGTAGCAGTGCTAACTACTGAGCCACCGTGCCACAGTTGCTTCAGGAGTATTGTGTCAAGCATATAAATAACCAGTTCTGCCCAGGGGAGCTGGTTTTGAGTATTAGTACTTTGATGCTGGGCAATTTGGCTTGTGAGGGGATGGGATGGTACTGTTGGACCCCGCCCCCGACCCCCCCACCTACCCCCACCCCCCAAACTCCCTCACCCCCCTCTTCTTGCCACTGAATTTGGAGGATTTAGCAATGGCACTAGAGATTCACCCAGTGCTTTAAAATAATGCCACGGGATCCTTTACAGCCACTCAAGCAGGCAATAAGAGCCAACATTTCATATCTTATCCAAAGCATGTCACTTCCAACAATGCAGCACTCCCTCAGGACTGCACTGAAAGGTCAGGTTTGATTTTTGTGCTCAAGACCTGCAGCGTGGGACTAGAATCCAGAACCTTATGACTCAGAGGAATGACAGCTCCCACCAAAAATTACTTTTCTGATTTGTGGTTTCATTTCTGATTTATTTTGTTTCAGCTTTCAGCACCTCTGCTGCTCCAGTGACTAACTCTGCTACACATTCTGCGACTCATCCGCTCTGTGTAATTCAGCTAATCACTGGTTTAACCAGCTATTTACGGAAGTTTAAGGATGTCTGAGTCCAGCAGCAGCATCTCTTGAACTTGCACCTCCTTCCTGCTTTTAAAAATAATTCAATTCTCTCAGTCAATTGTAAAGCTGATGTCTTACGCAGTTGCTGTTTATTTTGTAGAATTGAACACACTAAATGACTGTAGTGGGAGAGAGGCAAGAGAATGAGCTCCTCCAATCAGATCTTTCTGCTGCTTTGGAAGAACTGGACGCTCAGGAAGAGACAAAAGGTCAGTGCCTGAACAAAGGCTTGCATTCATTCCCACATCACTTAACAGGAGAAAGGAAGTAAAATAAAGAGACCGTTAATATGGGATCAAATGTTGTGTAAACAAGTCCAGACATTGGACTAGCAGATTGTCAATGAGATCAGTTAGCTATTTTTACTTTGACAACAGCAACATGCATCTATATAGCACCTTCAACACACATCCAAAGGCATTACACAGGAATATAATCAAATGAAATTTGATGTCAAACCACATACGCATATAGCTAAATACTTTGTCAAAGAAGTGGGTTTAAGGATAACCCTACATGGGGAAAAAGAGGTGGAAAGTTTTAGGAAGGGAATTTCTGATATTTCAGCCCAGTCGTTAAAGTTGGAATGATTTAAAGTAGAGATGCTCAAGTAGCCAGAATTGGAAGGGTACTGATATCTTAGAGAGCTGTGGGGTTGATAGGGACAGGCAAGGCCAAACAGTGTGACTTGAAAACAAGGATGAGAATTTTAAAATCAAGATATTGTTTAGCCAGGCGCTAAGGTGGGTCAGTGAGCACAAGCAAAAAAGGTGAACAGGACTTTTTGTGAGTTGAGATAACAGATGAGCATTGTATTCAACAGGATGATTTAGATTTTGTTTTGTTTATATCTGGCTTGGAGTCAATTACCAGGTAAGAAGCTAAATGAAATTGTGGAATTGCACACAGGCAGTAGTTCTCTCCTCTATTTGGGCTCTACTCTATCTTTTAGCAGCCAGCATCAGAAACCAATATGGGGATTCAACAATGCTCTCTTATTTAGAAATGGAACTTAAAGTTTTCAAGAAGATTTGTAGCTCGGGTTGTGGATGAGGTTGTAGACATGCTCGCTGAGCCAGTGGGTTTGGTTGCAAACATTTTGTCGCCCTGCCAGGTAACATCGTCAGTGCACCTCCGGTGAAGCGGCAGTGTTCTGTCCCGTTTGTTACTTACATGCCTCAGTTAGCGTTCATTTACATTCGCCAGTAGCTGTCGTAGGGTGGTTGTCCTAGAGTAACCCACAAATCAACAACCACCCTACGACAGCTACTGATGAACGCAAAGGATCCCATGCCAAAAACCAGCAAAACTGGAGTAATATACAAAATACCATGCAAGGACTGTGAGAAACACTACATTGGCTAAACTGGAAGAAAATTGACTATACGGATACATGAACACCAACTAGCCACCAAGAGACACGACCAATTCTCACTTATCTCACTACACACGGACAACGAAGGACACAAATTTGACTGGGACATGACATCAATAATCACACAAATCAAACAGAGACACGCCAGGGAATTCCTGGAGGTCTGGTATTCCAACCAGAACTCCATCAACAAACACATTGAATTAGACTCTGTGTACAAACCACTGAGAAACAAAACCGGAAATAATACCAATCACCCCAGCAAACCGAGGTACATAAATAACAAGTGGGACAGAACACCAACACTTCACCGGAGGCACACTGAAGATGTTACCTAGCAGGGTGACAAAACGTTTGAAACCAAACAAACTGGCTTGACAAGCATGTCTACAATCACAGAAATGGGACTATTTAGAAATTGTAATTATTCCTCAAACCACATTCATTGTCCAACAATCATGATGAATGCAGTAAAAATGTTTACTGCAATAATGGTTTAGATTTTACATGATGTAGAGATGCCAGTGTTGGACTGGAGTGGACAAAATTAGAAGTCACACGACACCAGATTATAGTCCAACAGGTTTCTTTGAAATCAGAAGCTTTCACCTGACAAAGGAGCAACACTTTGAAAGCTTGCGGTTTCAAATAAACCTGTTGGACTATAACCTGGGTGTGTGTGACTTCTGACTGGATTTTACAATCAGCAAGTAGGCAAAGGACATCAGAACAGATTGCCCCCAAATATTTAGCAATCTCAGAGGCATTTTTCTTCCCCTTGCCTGTCGCTGTTTAAATCTATTGTCAAATTCAAAGAGTTTGTCTATGTATGCAGCAGCAGTTATGGGTGCAAAAAGATTAAAGCTAATGGTATCATAGAGTTCACACACAGCCAATGGACAGTTAAAAATATTGACTTATCCTTTATTACAATCAATATTTTCAAATAATGGCATAAATGTTTATGACTGATTTCAGATTAGACTAAAGTAAAAACAAAAAATCCTTTAATAAAGCAGAAAAAAATTAAAAGCATGCTAATTTTTTCACGTTATGGAGAGATTTGATCTTCCACAGGTACAGTAGTAATTTTGAAGTTAATGCATTATTAAAAATCTAGTTACACCTCACCCAACAAGATGCAACTTTTTTAAGATTTTGATAGCAAATCTAATAGCATAGAAATGGACTTTACCCTCAGTTTGTGCACAGTGAACAGTCCAGTCTGTGGGAGCCCCCTCAGTGCAACTAACAAGGAAGTAGATTCACTCCTCACTTTCCACATTATTCTGTGCAGGTGGACATTCCTAAAAGTTACTGACAAGATTGCCATCATTACCACAGCCAATATCTCTACAAAGCAAACTAAATACAGCTGGGTTTTCGATGAAGTAGAAGCTGGATAAGAATATAAGTTAGTTGCAACAAGTTAACTTAATAATTAAGTCACCAGCAATTTAGATTTATGTAATATTCCAATGCCATGGAAGAATAGCTGCTAGCTATTTAATATAAGGATAGTTAAGGTGATTGTTTGGTGCACTTATACAGGTGATTTACTAAGCTGGCATGGGGCTTGATAAAACCAAAAGCCTAGTTTATTGGAATAGATAGCTACTTTAGTCTATGTAGAGGCTGATGTTTCCAGACACCTCTGTTAAGGAATAATACCTGGACAGTGCTGCAGGCAGTCGTAAGCTATCGTGCTATAATCAGAAAGTTACACACCAACTGAGAGCTGCTGGGCACTGATTGGCAATAGCTCTTGTGCTCAGCAGCAGGCATTCTATAGGAAATGCACCCACCCAAGTCTTAGGATCACAGAGTGGCTCAGGCCACAGGTAGGTCATGTGGAGGTGAGGGCCAGGGGTATGGTGAGATGGACAGATGGCCTGGTAGCAAGGGCAGGGAAATGGCTCTCGGCAGATACCACATCCTGATGCCCAGCAAACATGGAATGTTCTTGATTGAGGGACATCAGTTCTCTCTCAGGTACTGGCTGCATGGCGACAGATCCTCCTGCAGCTGAGTTTATCTCGACGAGGGTGAATTGAGATCCTGAAGTGGACATTATTTGGCCACTGAAGTGGCTCAATTGGCAGTGAGGTGGAAAGGCCTTCCCTCACAGAACCACATTCCAGCATAGGCTGGACGGCAGTGTGGTTCAGCTACAACACTAATGCAGCTAATAAAATATCCTTCCCATCTCCAAGACCCCCACCACCAGTGACAGTGAAAGATTCCACCCATTAGAATCTTATTGCTAATGATCTGAGTTTTGCCCATGTACCTTTAAGGCCATTTTTAACCCTCAGTGAACTGAGGCATAACACATCATCCTCGTCACCTACAAACAGAGGAATTCTCAGACCATGATCTTTAATATGTTGTTCCCAATAATTATGACTTTTTAAATTCAGTCGTGGGATATTAACTAGGTCAGCATTTATTGCTCCTAATTGCTTAGAGGGCAATTGAGCGTCAACTACAATACTGTGAATCTGGAGTCACATGTGCCCCAGAGTAGGTGAAGATGGCAGATTTCCTTCCCTAAAGGGTATTAGTGAACTAGGTGGGTTTTTAAACAACAATAGTTATGTGATGACCATTAGGCCAGCTCCCTATTCCAGCCGTGGTGGGACTTGAAACAAAACCTTTGGCCTTGGGTTCTGAATGCTTATTGGTGATATTACCACTACACTGCTGCTTCCATTGGACATATTAGGCATACTAACTATCCAGTAAAAACTGTGAGGGATATATCAGTGATTGATCTAGACAAATAAATACTGGTTTGATGACGTACCTTCTTTCTATTAACCAGTCGCATTATAACTTCCATGTCACCTATACTTGGCAAGTCTAGTGCTGTGCTCAAAGTAATGAAAGCTTTCCTTAAGACTATTAAGACAAGAAGCGTGATTTGTTCCTGATCCTTTCTCCGGAGCATGTCATTTGTCGGTCAAAGATACTGCTGACATGACCTTTTTTCTGAATACTAAACTGATCAGACTGAGCAGTGCCAATATTGTTTGCTTCTAGTCATATTTATGTGGGGACACAGCTCCTAGTAACCATGAACTTAGTCTACACATCAATCCTGAAATGCAACATAACTTATTTTAGTGTGGTGTAAATTAGTTACAACACATTGGGGCAGGGGCCGGCACCCTGAATTTTCTTCAAATATGTGTTACGTTAGACTTGCAATACCAGTAAAACGTAACATCCATTCTTAACACCTCCAACTTCAAACAGAGTGAAAGGTGTTATTAATGTGATCACCTATTTATCTAGCTAGGAGATGTTATTGAAAATAATTGAGACAAAATTGAATTTGACCAGGGTGAAATGGAGGAAACCTGAATTCACAACGACTTAATGAACTATTTCTCCCAACATGAACCTATTGCTTTGTAACACTATTCTTAAACTAATCTCAATTTTGTCATTTTTACCAGCTCCGTTTTCTCGTGGAACTCGTCTGGCCCCTCTCACTGTTCTTTGTTTTGGTTTGGTTACGGAAATCAAACCCACTCTACCAACAACATGAATGTGAGTAAGAGCAAAAGCTGTAACATTTCTTGTTATTTCTAAATTGCTTCCCTGTAACTCGATGCCGAAAAGACCAGTCAACACTTTGAGTCGTATCAGCTCGAAACTGAGCACAACATTAAGTCACGAGGAGCTGCTGAGTGTAAGATTTTACAAGTGGATAATGTTGGCAGGACTCCCCATCTGTTTTTGGTCTGAATAATAACTGCATGCCACAAGCTGCCCTCATTCATCAATCTCTTTCCCCAAGAGGTGCATATTTCATGGACAGAGAATGGCAGCAACAGAGCTATGGCATGGAGAAGCTTTCTGGTGCTTGGGCTGAAACTGAATAGTTGATACTGTTCCAAGGACACTTGCTTCAGTTGAAGTATTAATACAATCAGAAGAAACAAAATGAGAAACAGAGTTTCTTTCTTTGGAATCAGCAGCTTTGTTTTAAAAGAATTTAAATAAGATTCTAAGAAGAATAAGCTTGCAGACAACATATTTTGAAACTTCTTTGCATGTTTTCCCTACTTAGGCCATTTTCCGAATAAAGCGATGCCCTCTGCAGGGATGTTGCCATGGTTACAGGGAATTTTCTGTAATCTGAACAACCCCTGTTTCCGCTACCCTACACACGGAGAATCTCCTGGTTTGGTTTCAAACTACAATAACTCCATGTAAGTATAGTTTTGGGATTTGAGACTGCAATAAACATTTATTTATAATGTGTTTGTAACAACCTAAAATCCGATGGTTAGAGAATAAATGCTGGCAGCAGTGACGTTAGAGACAATATTTACAAGCTAGATGGGTAACTATTTCACTTTAGGTTCTCTCACCTCCAATTTCGATGCCCTAAGCCACAGTGAAACAGTTAGTCCTGTTCACCCTGGTCAACCTTCCTGGTACAACCCTCAGCTCTGCTCAATTAGCTCCAAGCAACCCAGACTTGAAAAGATATGGTGATCCACTAATTCCATCACCAGATCTGGTTGGATCACTTCTTAAAAAAAAACTGCTGAGTCCTACTCTTGTCTATTAAATTTCAGGATCATCCTGGAATGCAAAGATTGCCTAAGACTTCTTTTCTTGACTGCAGACTGACTTCTTAAACACCACTGCCCTGTCCCTTCCGCTTCACCTCCAACAATGTCTGTGAGGAGCTGATGGAGCTTTCTTGTCACTAGGATTGTGACCATCTGATCAGCTGCCTCTGTTATGTCCCTTCCTGCCCCCTAACCTGCCTGGCCAAACTCTTCTTAATGCTTCTCCTTGCTTTACCCCTGAACTCACATGTTTCTCTCCTACCTCCTCTCGTTCCATCTCTGAGCTCACCCTGGCCACGAAACCCACCTCCGTCCCCTCGTTCCTATTCCCACTAAACTGCTGATCTCCCAACTTCCCCTCCTGCCGTCCATGTTAGTCAACATGGTAATTGGATCTCTCTATTTCAGATGTTGTTCCTCCCAACTTTTAATCTTCCATCATCACTCTGCTCTTCAAACAAAAACTTCTTTGTCCTTGCAAACTACTGTCCCATCTCTGACCTCCTGTTCCTATCCAAAGACCTTGAACTTGTTGCCACCTCTCAAATACTTTCCCTTCTTTCCTGAAACTCCATGTTTGAATCTAACCGATCAGATTTCTTCCCCGACCACAGTATCTAAAAGATTCTTTTCAAAGACAAAAATGCCATTCAATGTGACTATAACTGTGACAAAGGTAAATGTTCCCTCCTCATCCTTCTAAAATTGTCTGCAGCCTCTGATATAGTTGACCAATCCTCCAATGCCCCCTCCAATGCCACCCCAATGTCCCCTCCAATGCCTCCTTATTATCATTCAGGCAGGCAGGATTGGTGTCACTTGGTTCCTTTCTTATCAATCTGATCGTAGCCAGAGAATGACTTGTAATGGCTTCTCTTCCTGCTACCACACAGTTACCTCTGGGATTCCCTAGGGACTGACCCATTACACCCTCCTCCTACTACAGTCCCTCAGCAACACCATCCATTGGCATAATGTTAGCTTTCAAATCAGCCTAATGGCACCCAGCTCTACCTCACCACCACCTCTCTCAATGTTACTACTGTAGCTTAATTATCAAACTGTTTGTCCTTTATCCAATACTAGACAAGAAGAAATAACCCCCAGTTAAATATTGGGAAGACTGAAGCCATTGATCTCGGTCCTCGCTCCAAAATCTGTTTCCTAGCAAATGACTCTGTCCTTCTCTCTGTTAATATTCTGAATTTAAACCAACCTGTTCAGAATCTTGGTGTGCAGTTCAATACTGAGATGAGCTCTGGCCTCATCTTTGTGCCATTTCTAAGATGGTCTATTTGCGTTTCTGTGACGTTGCTTGACTATGCACATAGCTCATCTGCTGCTAAAACCCTCAATCATGCCTTTAATACCTCTAGACTCAACTATTCCAATGCCCTGCAGACTGATCTCTGGTAGTACCTCAAGACTTGAATCTCACAGTCTGCCCTTCGTAAAGTTGAGGTCATCCAAACGTCTGCTGCACTTCTCTTAACTTGCAGAAAATCCCATTTCCTACCACCCCTATGTTTGTTTATCTACAGTGGCTTTGGTCAAGTAATTTCTTGATTTTAAAATTCTAATCCTTACTTTTGAGTTGCCCCTCTGTCTTCCTGTAATTTCATTCAACCTACAACTCTCCAGGACTTCTGCACTCCTCTACTTTTTATGCATTCCTGGTCACAATCACTTTACCAATGGTGGCTGTGCCTTCAGTTGACCCTAAGCTTAGAATGCCCTCTCTACCTCTCTTCCTCACCTACTTCCTTTAGATACTCCTTAAGATCTACCACTTTGACAAAATTTTTGATCATCTGACTTCATATCTTCCTTTGTGAATCAATGTCATGCATCTATAAAGCACTGTGAGATGTTTAATTCTGTTAAAGGTTCTATATAAGTGTAAGTTTTTGTTGTGTATCAACAGACAATTAATTAGAAGTAGCTCACTCCTCCATTCTTAAGTAAATGTAAAAGTAGTTTTAAAACTTTGAGAAAACCCTAAATGATTTAATTGTAAATGTTACTGATGTTCAAGTTATCCCTTAATCTGTTTTCATCTTTTCTAACATAGTTCTTTTAGCTCCTGTACTTCTCTCAATGTTGTGACTGGCCAGTGTGTGATTCCATCCCATATTGACCTTTCCTCAATAGGGGCTTGAAAGTGAAGTTTGGGAGATGAAGGCATGCTGTGTGTCAAACACCTTTGGTCTGATTAGTTTACCTCCTACCACTGACCCAGCATGTTTTGTTATTGCAATGGATGACCAGACTGAGCTTGGTTGTAATGTCAATAGTGGCTGAGATCAAATATTTGGCCCCTGACTCATAGCAAAGTGCATTAATGTTACTGGGTTCCCTAAGCAGTCTGATATTGGAAATGTACCATGAAAGCTGAGATTTGTGTGTCTTCTTTGAATCTAATCAAATGTGTTAGTTAATTTAACATAGTTGATGTTTAATTATATTTTAAGGTATAATAAGGCACCCTGTGTTAGGAAGCTTACTAAAAAATAATTATGTTGAGGGCTGCATTCAGTCCATTGTACATTCTATGTATTGCACTTTTATGCATGTATTTATGGAAGGGGAGCTGTTACCCAATGTTCTCTCCTCATCCTTTTCTAAGTGCACTGACTTTTGCAAGGGTATAGTTCCCAAGAGACTAACAACCTTCTACCTCCTCACTAAAGTGGTTATCCCTCATGCATAAACCAGCAAGTGATGGTGAGCAGGTAACAGTAAAGAGATTGTGGCTGAGGCCAATCCTTGTTCTTACCTGCTATCAAAACTTGCATATTTTCCCACAATGATCCAGGGTAATATCTCTATGGGTGGACCATCAGAGGTAGCATCATTAGTAACATCCCTACTGCTGCACCAGAGGCTCCAAATTCCAGTGCCCCCTCAGGGCTTAAGGCCCATTGAAGGTGTTCATAATGCAAGCAATTAAGTTAACTATCGATCTGTAAATCCTTCCAATGCATCTACAGCAAGCAGCTAGATTGGGAGAGTTTTCTTGTCAGGCTGATCTGTGCGTTGATGCAGAACAAGCAACCTCCTCATTTTACAAGACTCCACATTTAAGTTTCTGACTTTTGTTTTAAGGACTACCTCACACTCATACTTGCACTCTGATCATGGAATCTGAAAGCTATTCCTCTCCCCTTCTATTTTCTATTTACCTCTCTGAGGTAAGTTGTGGCAACACAACTTCTACCTTGGTTCTGATGAGCTGACTCAGTGCAGCTGAAAGGCCTAATATAAAACCTATAGCTCCGCTTCAACATTTATATTTGTCCATGTACATTGTTAAAAGGTAGGAGCTAAAGGTTTGGATCACATGATGTGAAAGCTAACAATTTTGTATTCTCTTGTACTTTGTTTCAGACTTGCTCGAGTATATGCAGATGTTCAGGAGCTGCTGTTTGATAAGCCCGAAATCTATAAGCTAAGGAAGATCTGGGATGATGTGTGTTTTCTGTCAGACTTCATGGATGTACTCAGAACTAATCCGAGAAAAGTTGCAGGCAAGAAGAGGCTCTACAGTCACCTTTAACTATAAGAAAGATTTACATTTATATACTTCCTTTCATGACCCCAGCACATAGAGTCATAGAGTTGTACAGCATGGAAACAGACCCTTCAGCCCAACGTATCCATGCTGACCAGTTTTCCTAAACTGAACTAGTGCCATTTGCCAGCATTTGGTCTATGTCCCTCTAAACCCTTCCTATTCATGTCACCATTTAAAAGCAATAGACCTTGAAGGAAATTGAAGCCAACAAAGTCACTTTGAAATGTAACCACAGTTGTCAACAAGTTATTTATGGCATAGAAGGAGGCCATTCAGTCCATGCTGGCTCACTGAAGAGCAAAACATTCTGTACCCCTGCCCCTACACTTTCCCTGTCACCTTAGTAAATTTATTTCCTTCGAGTGGCCATCTAATTTCCTTTTGAAATCGTTGATCATATCTGCTTCCACCATACCCATAGGCAGCAAGTTCCAAGTCATTGTCACTCACTGCATAAAAAGAATCTTGAGTAATGCTAAAAAGTAAACATTTTGTCAAAGCTATTTGTCTTGCATCCATCAGGACAATTTACAAGAATACAATTTAAGGGGAAAACCAACATTTCTACTGAATGAGAGGATGGTGCTGATTGGTTGGCAAGTGGAATCTGATTGGTATAAGTGTTACCATCGAGAATGCACCAGTTAATGGTTTTTGACAGTTTGCCAGGCCTTGTTAGATTTTAAACTAGGCGGGTTAACCCTAATGTCAAGGCATTGCCCTGAGAATTGAATCAGAGAGTAATTGGCTGACTTGAAATAGGCATGTACATGTTCTTTCTGTTTGTAAATTACAGGGCCCTCTATAATAACGTATGGAGCTTTCAGTACTCACACATATGAAGGCTCTTCCTCACATTCCCACCCGCATCTATTACCCAAAACCTTAAATCCTGGAGTTGCACCAATGTGAATGGAAACATATTTCCCTTACCTATCTTGTCCAAGCATGTCCTGATCATGCACACCTCTAACAAACCTCCCCACAATCTCCTTTGCTTCAAGGTGAACAACCCTAGCCTGAACAACTTAATCTTATAGCCAAAATCATCACAGTGCACCTACTCAAAGACACTTAGATCTTTCCTAAGATTTACTGACCACTACTCTTGTAATGGCCTAACCAGAGGTTCAGCAAAACCTTACTGCTTTATACCAAAGACATCTCTTCTTTATGAAGCCTGCCAAATAATCTCCCAATTTGTGCCAACACCTTCAAAGATCTATGTACCTATGCCTCCAGGCATCTCACGCTTCTCTGTGTTAAATTCCATCTGTCACTTGTCTGCCCATTCTATTGGCCTAGTTACGTCCTGGTGCAGTCAATTTTTATCAGCCTCAGTACTTGCCACTCCTCCAATGTTAATTAAATTGTTCTTACAAAGATTTCTGGCATATTTACAATGGGTTAAAAGGCCTCCTGCTATATTGCAACATGTTAATTGTAATAATTAAAGTTAATAACATACTAGCAAAAGTCCTTGATTGGATGTTTACTTGTGCATATCTAAAAAAGCACTTAATAATACATGGGTTGATTGAATGTTGATTTGACCATATCTAAAATGATACTTAACAACAGAAGAGCTGAGTGGGGTCAGGAGATACACACCTGTAACGTTTATTCTGTGAATAAATCTATCACAAGTGTAGACTGACTTAATCCTTCACAAACTAGCTATTAGAAATATAATGTAACATCTGAGATCTGCAATCTGACATTCTGACTAAAGTAACAAGATAAAACAAACAAAAAGTTGATAGCTCAAGGAAACCTATCTTTCCCTACTTCCTATTTTCATGGCACTCCTATTCTATTTGAAGGAAGAGGTATTCGAATCAGGGATATTCTGAAGGATGACGAAGTCCTGACCTCCTTTTTACTCAAGGAAATTGAACTCTCGGACTCTGTCGTTTATCAGTTGATCAATGCCCAAGTGCGGCCTGAACAGGTGAGTTTTGCTTTAGAGATAGCAGGAACTGCAGATGCTGGAGAATCTGAGATAACAAGGTGTAAAGCTGGATGAACAGAGCAGGCCAAGCAGGATCAGAGGAGCAGGAAGGCTGATGCCTGAAACGTCAGCCTTCCTGTTCCTCTGATGCTGCTTGGCCTGCCAGCTCTACACCTTGTTATCTGAGCTTTGCTTTGGTTCTGTTACTCATGTAATAACATAAGCCTGTCAGGAATAGGTAAAGGCCACTCTGACAATCAAACTCACATTTGCCACTTTCTAGAGACGGCAACCTCAGACAAAGACTCATTCAACAAAGGCCCTGCCAAGAATTCTGTAATGTCATTTCTAATGAAATGTCATTAACCTGAAATGTTAGCCATATTAACTCATTCAAAACCCATCCATTCAGACAGAATTGAAATCAAGCCTATTAAAGCTGTTGCTCTCTCCACCAATGTTATCTGACCTGTTCAGTTTTCTTTTCTAGAATTATTTATTTTGTCTTCAAGCTCCATGAAGCCCATGTGAATCAAATTATCAATACTCCTTTATTTGGAATTCATTTCTCAACAGAATTTGACCCAGTTCCCTTTTAAAGGTATTAGAAGCTCCAGAGTATTCATTGCGAAGAAGCGTTATATTAATTAATATCACTGCTTTATTCTGGCTCATAGCATCATCTGGTGTCTGAGCTCCATAACATTTAGGGATGTTGATTATTTAATAGCAATTTACTGTGCAGGGGAGTAAGTTCATTGCCATGGAGATTGATTAAGCCATGTTCCAAGAACTCTCTCATTCAACTGGACTAAGTTGGTACGATCTGCTTCTAATGTAGATGAATCAGGGTAATCACCCTTGGGTCATGTGCCACCAGAAACCTGGCACAGAGGGAGCAAAGGGGTGTCCTGCTATCAGATCACCGAGCTTTATTTGTAAATGTTATATGCACCTAGAAGAGTGAAAGCTGTGGACAAGGGGTTTATGCAACATCAGTGTCCCATTAGCCTCTGCCCACTGGAAGGGCAAGGCAAGCAGACACATGGGAACACTATCATCTGCAGGTTCCCCACCAAACACACACCATCCTGACTTGGAGCGATATTACTGTTCTTTCATTGTTGCCAAAATCCTGGAACTCCCTCCGTAACAGCAGTTTGCCCACCCTGGCACCACATAGACAGTAGAAGTTCAAGGTTCACTACCATCTTCTCAAGAGCAACTGGAGATGTCCAATAGATTTTGGCTCATCCAGGGCTGCCCACATCCCATAAAGAAGTGAAAAGAAAGAACTCATATTGAGATAAAATCACAATACTGTGGTTGCTGGAAATCTGAAATAAAAACAAAGTACAGGAGAAACTCAGCAGGTCTCGCAATACCTTGGAAGACAGAAACAGAGTTAATGCTTCTAATATGACTATGACAGCATTCTGAACAGGAGTCAAAACATTAACTCTGTTGCCATCTCCACAGTTGCTGCCAGACATTATATGTTTCTTCAGCATCTTTTGTTTTTACTTAGATTTATATGGTGTCTTTTATGCTGTAAATTGCTCTGAGGTGTGGCACAGGCACCTGATCAAACATATCAACATTTCTGCATGCTATTTCATCCTACTATATAATTGAAAATCATAATCCAACCATTGCAGACTTTTTAAAAAAAAATTTAAAAAGAACAAATGCGAATTTGTTAAAAGGGATTTATTCACAAGTCCACTGCACGCCCTTAACCAAAAGTCTTAGACACAGTGCAGCCCTTCACTCACTGAATGTCTGAGTGTTGAAGTAATTACAATCTGCATCAGAATGTTCTCTTTGGTAATAGTGTGTGGCCTCAAATTCTTTAACAGATGGAATGCACCAGTGTGGGAAGCAGCACTGACTGACAGTGCCAGGATAATAACAAAATTGAAACACAACTCTAAAGAACCTTTTCATATGCAAATAATAAAATAATGACAAAACATCAACGTACGCTGTGATTCAAAATTATCCAGACGTCAACCACCTTAACCTTTTTTAAAAGCTTTGAGCCAGAGAATTCCTAAGGAGCTGTCAATATTTTAGTGACAGGCTTCTTTGACTACAGTGTATTTCTGAGTGTTTGTGGTTATGACACATGGATAAGTCCTGAATAGTAATCTAGCAAACAAATAGTACAATATCTTCACATCCCACACGTAACTGTAGGCATGTCAAATGATTTACAGAGGTTCGCAAAGGTTTGATTTGTTGTTTTTCTGTTGGACACTGTTTTTGGATTTGTGTTAAGTATTATTGATCAGATGATTAAATTGAAAGATACTTTTCAAATATTGAAGTTACCTGGATGAATTTCTATTCAATTTAGCTCTTTCAAAGAGACTGAGACATTTGTGTGTCCTTTGCAACTGGAGCCAAAGGTCATAATGTATTTATATCTTGTTCTGTGGCTGAAAGTCTTGTTGTCTTCATAGTAGACTTATGGTTGCAATGCCTAAAGAGCAATACTGTTCTGAGCTGTAGTTAGCATAAGTGAGATATGCTGCAACTAGTAATGTTACCACTGCAGGAGCAGTACATTGTGCAAGCAAACATTCATTCTCAGCCTGCTTTTGAAGGATGTAAGCACTTTACTTCAACTTCTGGAGGAGTTTTTTGCCTTCATGCACCCTCTCTGGATGCTTTTCTCATGAACTAGACATTTTTACATCCTGGCATGTTACTGGAAGATTGCTGCAATATCTCTGTCACTGGAATTGATCATTTTTCTTTGAAGGACGATGGGTTGAAATGTTGCTGCTGAACTCATGTCGTCTTGTCATCTGTGCCAAAGTCAAACCTGCAGCATCTGTGGAGAGAAATCAGGATTAACATTTTGGGTCCAGTAGCCCTTCTTCAGAACTGGCATTTGCAGTTCTCTAGGTTTTTTTTTTGCAGTACCAATTTGTTCATCAAACTATTTTGCTGAATGAAAGTGGAGTTGCAGGTAGACAGGATAGCGAGGAAAGCATTTGGTATGCTTGCTTTTATTGGTCAGTGCATTGAGTACAGGAGTTGGGAGGTCATGTTGAGATTGTACAGGACATTAGTTTGGCCACTTTTGGAGTGTTGCGTGTACTTTTGGTCTCCCTCCTACAGGAAGGATGTTGTGAAACTAAAAAGGGTTAAGAAAAGATTTACAAGAATGTTGCCAGGGTTAGAAAGTTTGAGATGTAGGGAGAGGCTGAATAGGCTGGGACTATTTTCCCTAGAGTGTCGGAAGCTGAGGGGTGACCTTATAGATGTTTATAAAATCATGAGGTGCATTGATAGGGTAAATAGGCAAAGTCTTTTCCTTGAGGTGGGGGTGTCCAAAACTAGAGGGCATTGTTTAAGGTGAGAGGGGGAAGATATAAAAGGGACCTAAGGGGCAACTTTTTCACGCAGAGGGTGGTGCGTATTTGGAATGAGCTGCCAGAGGAAGTGGTGGAAGCCGGTACAATTACAACATTTAAAAGGCATCTGGATGGGTACATGAACAGGAAGTGTTTGGGCCAAATGCTGGCAAATAGGTCTAGATTTATATAGGATATCTGGTCAATATGGCTAAGTTGGACCGAAGGGTCTGTTTCCGTGCTTTATATCTCTATGACCCTATAATTATAGATTTGTCAGTGGCTTCAAATAGATTGTACTGTGCATTCCTTTTCTCATCTGCATCGTCTCACAAACTTTGGTTTCTGTCATCTGAGTTTTCTTCAGTGATGATAAGGCTGTTTTGTAGTTTCCAGTGATGTGTTGTCACAGTTTTAACATTAAGTTCAAAGTTCTCTAATCTCTGTTGAGGTCGCTGGCTACTACGTTGTTGGCTGAGCCTTGACTGTGACTGAGTGGCGCCAGTGAATCCTTTTCAAGACATCTTCCTGAACAGAAACTAGAATAACAATCATCCATAGAATCCCTACAGTGTGGAAACAAGCCATTAGGCCCAACAAGTCCACACCAACTCTCCAAAGAGCATCCCACCCAGATTCACCCCCACCTCCAGCCCTATCCCTGTGTTTCTCATGGCTAAACCACCTAACCCACGCATGCCTGGACACGATAAGTTCAATTTAGCCTGGTCAATCTACCTAGCCTGCACATCTTTGGACTGTGGGAGGAAACCCACAGACACAGAGACAATGTGCAAACTCCACACAGACAGTCACCTGAGGCTGGAATCGAATCTGTGTCCCTAGTGCTGTAAGGCAGCAGTGCTAACTTCTGAGCCACCCTGTATTCAGAAGCTTTCCATGCTTATGAAATGCTGTTGGTGCTCAAAGTATGTGATCGTGGTCATCACTGGACTTTTGGTTTGGCCATTATTCAACAAAGTAACAATTAAAAGTAACATATTCTTGGTTCATCATCTTTTGCTCTCAGCCTGTTTACTTATCACCTGCCATTTCTCTGTACATTTCACCAGTCTAGGCTCACCTAAAGACTATCAGTATTCTCCTTATTGTTTACAACATTTCTATATTTTCTCGTTTCTTGAAATTATTTAATATTCCCAGAATCAGAATCTGATGAGCTACCACTTATTACTTTTCCCTACACCTCTAATAGAAAACAGTTGTGGATGTTGAGACCATACTTGTGTTATGGTTTCAGCCCGACATTTATCTCCATCTTTGCATCTACAGTTGCAGGTTCCCAGATCATTCAAAATACTTTATAGACAGTCGACTATTAACATTGCTGATTCTACTAAATCATCAAAGATAAGACCAGCTTTGCTGGTAAGCATATCATTGTGCAAAGTTGGATGGCTGATAAGAAGATTGGGCAGAATATAAAGAACAGCAAAGAATAGCTAAAAGACTTAACTAAAAGAATAACTAAAAGCATGGCTTCATCAAGGGTAGGTCAGACCTGACAAATCTGTTAGAATTCTTTGAGAAGGTAATGAACAAGTTAGATAAAGGAGAGCCAGTGGATGTGATCTATTTGGATTTCCAAAAGACATTTGACAAGGTGCCACATAGGAAACTGCTATTTAAGTTAAGAGCCCATAGTACGACAGTACTAGCATGGATAGAGGATTGGCTGGCTGGCAAAAGGTAGAAAGTGGGGGTAAAGGGGTCTTTCTCAGGATGGTAGCTGGTGCCTAGTGGATTTCTGCAGTGTCCGCGTTAGGTCCACAACTATTCACATTGTCCCTTAATGATCTGGATGAGGGAACTGAGGACATTGTGGTTAGGTTGGAACAAAGATACGTGGAGAAGCAGGTAGTGTTGAGGAAGTGAGGAGGCTGCAGAAGGACTTAGACAGGCTAGGAGATTGGGCAAAGAAATGGCAGATGGGATACAATGTGGAGACTTGTGAGTTTGTGCACAAAAGAATATGGGTGTAGATTATTTGTTAAATGGTGAAAGGCTTCAGAAAACTGAAGCACAAAGGGACTTGAGAGTCCTAGTTCAGGATTTTCTTAAGGTTAACATGCAGGTCCAGTTGCCACTTAGGAAGGCAAATGGAATGTTAGCATTCATTTTGAGAGGGCTAGATTACAAGAGGATGGGTGTACTGCTGAGTGTGTACAAAACTCTGATCAGACCACATTTGGAATATTGTGAGCAGTTTTGGCCCTGTACTTTAGGAAAAATATGTTGACCTTGGAGAGGGTCCATAGGAGGTTTACAAGAATGATCCTAGGAATGAAGATCTTGTCATATGAAGAGTGGTTGAGGACTTGGGGTTTGCACTTGAAGGAGTTTAGAAGGATGATGGAGGATCTCATTAAAAGTTACAGAATACTGAGAAGCTTGGATAGACTGGACATGGAGAACATGTTTCCATTAGTAGGAGAGACTAAGACCTGAGGGCACAGCCTCAGAGTGAAGAGATGACCCTTTAGGACTGAAATGAAGAGAAATTTCTTCAGTCAGAGGGTGGTGAATCTGTGGAGCTCATTGCTGCAGAAGGCTATGGAGGCCAAATCATTGAATGTATTTAAATCAGAGATAGGTTCTTGACTGGTAAGGAAATTAAGGGTTACGAGTAGAAGCCAGGAGGGCAGGAGAAGAATGGCATTGAGAAACATATCAGCCATAATCAAATTGTGGAGCAGACTCAATGGGCTGAATGGCCTAATTCTGCTCCTGTATCTTATGGTCTAAAAGGTAGTAGAGACAGAATCTCTGAGTATTTTTAAGGCAGAGGTAGATAGATTCTTGACAAGCAAACGGATGAAAGGTTACTGGGATAGGCAGCAATGTGTAATTGAAGGTAAAATCAGATTACCCATTATCTTAATGAATGGCAGGACAGGCTCGAAGAATCTAGCAGCCTATATCTGCTCCTAATTCATATGTGTGTTCAGATATTTTGCCCATCTCTAAGTTCCTTTGAACTGTATCATAACTGAGCATAGCAGAGGGCAGTTTACCAAAACAGGAAATTTAATGCTTGGCATCATTGGTTTAAGAGGAATAACAGGTCATATTGGAGTGCTTGGGAAGTCAACATTGAAATGAGCTGGGGGAGTTTAGTATAACATTACTGTGATGTTGGCTGGGTACCTAGGAAAAACAGGGCGGTAACCACATAACCCACATCTCCCTTTTGGTGGGTGTATGCTCCATAGCAGCTGTTAGACTGATGAAAACCCCCCCACAGGAGCTGTGGTTCTGATCATCTGCCTTCAGCTGGAAGGGAGGGGGAAAGGAGGAAATGCTTTCCAGTAAGCCAAGAAAGATTCAAAACAAAATATGCTGGCTCAATTTCAACATCTAAAATCATAGCTCTTAACATCTTGTCTTTTTAACATCTTGAAATATTTGAACAGTGTGTTGAAGACATGCACGTAATTAATCTTTTGATGCATCAGCACTCCAATGACCCAGACAATGAAGTATAATCAGGGGGAAAATATTTGTTGAGGTTAAGTGCACAGTGGGATGATTATACTTCAGTAAATTAATAAGATCGCCACATTCTGTGCCTTTAGTGAGGTTGAAGCATGGTATATTGATAATTTGCAAAGTTAACCTTGATTCTCTGACTGATCCAATTGCATCAACAAGCTTCTGATGTCAGTTGCTTGGTTACCAAGAATTTGTCAACTTCAGGAATTGTGAGCTTTCATGAGTTGCTTTTGTCCGATGCAAGCAATTCTGCGAGAGACATGCCACCTAATTGATCAAGATCGATGGAAAAAGTTATAGATGAGATAGTGGCAGATCATCACAGTTGGGTAAAACACTTGAATATTTTGGTTGGCATTTGCAGTTTGACCTACTAATCTCAATTTGAATGTTCCCACAAGGCATTGAGGGATATATCAGAAGGGGAATTGATTAGCAATACTTTTGTATGGATTAAAACAAAATTGATAGAATTATGTAGTGAGCCCCTTTTCATTGTTTGATCCTATTTCTCTTCCCCGCTCAACTCTGCTTATTTAATGATAAGTAAGCTGCACCGAATTTCTTACATGGAAGAGATGTTGCATTTTTGTACCAGGGTTGCTTTATCATCAACTGGAATCATCATATCCCCATGCAGCTGATTAGACATTTTGGGCTGTAAATATTCAGAGACTTGATTGAATTTGATTAAAGAAGATGGTTGCATCAAAGCAGAAATCAACAATAACTTGCATTTCTGTAACAGTTAAACTAAAGTAGATATGCAATAACTTAATTCAAGGTGTATGAGATGAACATTATCAGACAAAATTTGATGCCAAGCCACACTGTAAAATATTAAGATAAGTCACCAAAAGTTTGGTCTAAGAGAGCAACTTAAAGGAAGAAAGTTGAGAGATTGAGGGGTTTAGAGATGAAATCATAGAGCACAGAATCCTCAGCTCAGAAAACACAGCAATCAATAATGAATCAGTACTACAAACAAGGGTACGGCTTACACAGTTAGTGGTAGGGCCTTAGGTAGTGTTGTAGAACAGAGGACCTAGGGGTGCAGATACATAATTCTTTGAAGTTTGCATCATAAATAGATAGTGTGGTTAAAAAGGCATTTGGCATGTTTGCCTTCATTGCTCAATCCTTTGAGTATAGGAGTTGGGAAGTCATGTTGAGGTTGTACAGGATATTGGTGAAGCCTCTTCTGGAATATTGTGTCCAGTTCTGGTCACCCAAGTTATAGGAAGGATATTATTAAGCTGGGGAGTGTTCAGGAGAGATTTACCAAAATGTTGCTGGGTATGGGAGGTTGAGTTACAAAGAAAGGCTGGTTAGGCTGGGACATTTTTCACTGGAGTGAAGGAGGTTGACAGGCAACCTTATAGAAGTTTATAAAATAATGAGGGGTATAGATATTAATGGTAGTTGTCTTTTCCCTAGAATGGGGGATTTCAAGACTTGAGGACACATTTTTAAGGTGAAAGGAAAGAGATTTAAAAAAGACATGAGGGACAAATATTTTACACAAAGGGTGGTTTGCGTGTGGAATGAACTGACGAAATGGTGGATGTGGGTACAATTACAATGTTTAAAAGACATTTGGATAAGAACATGGATAGGAAAGGTTTGGAGGGTTATGAGTCAGGAGCAGGCAGGTGGGACTAGTTTAGTTTGCGATTATGGTCGGCATGGATTGGTTGGACCAAAGGGTCTGTTTCTGTTCTGTATGACTCTGTGATTCTATGACTCTATATACAAAATGCCAGATTTGGAATGCAAAAATCTTGAGGGGGATGAATAGAGTGGATATGGTTACAACAGAATGAAAATTTTAAAGTTTAAGTTTTTGCCAGGCCTATTTGGGTCAGCAAGCACAGATTAATGGGTGCACAGGTATTTGGTTACAAGCAGCAAAATTTGGATGAGCTCAAATTTATTAAAAGTCAGGAAGCCAGTCAAGAGATCATAGTTTCCATTTGTACACAAGAACAAGTGAAACTGAAATACTAAAATCTGAGCACATTATAGGGAAAGTATTTCAGACCTAAGAGAATATAATTATTTGTGTCTGCAAAAATATATATTTTTACTGTTTTTATTATATAACCTCTGACAGTGAAAGCACACTTATGATTTGTTTTGAAATGAATGTTATAAGCTACTTGGGAATTGTTAGCTAAATGTAATGGTGCTTGCAAATGTTCTTGCTTCCAGTTTGCTTATGGAGTTCCAGACCTAGCCCTCAAGGACATAGCATGCAGCCAATTTCTGCTGGATCGTTTCCTCATTTTCTTGAGTCACCGAGGACTGCGTACTGTCCTGAATGGAATTTGTGTGCTTTCCCAACAACGGCTCCAGAGAATGGAAGATGCACTTTATGCAAACGTGGATTTCTTTAAACTCTTCAAAATGGTAGGTTTATTATTTTGGCCATTTACTATTGTGGAAAAGTATGTAACCAGTTACGAGCTATCTTTATAACAGGCACTTTTGACCTATATAAATTATCCCCATTGACATTCATGAGTAAGTCGCATTGTGAAGAGTAGCCTGACTGAATTTCTGCTTTCAAGGTGAAATTAGTCATTCATCATCCACTGCTTATTATTTCCTTTCCTACATTTTCTGAGCACCCTATATCAGATATAATCCAATTACTAACAGGCAGACAAATGCAGTATGACAGGGTCTAATAATGTTCCAATAAGCAAAGGCTAAAGAGTTTAGAAGAATGTGAAGTGATCTCATTGGAATATATGGGATTCTTAATGGGCTTGACAGGGTAAATGCTGAGAGGATGTTTCCTCTGAAGGGAGAGTCTAGCACCAAAGGGCGTAGTCTCAGAATAAACAGCCAATTTAAGACTCAAATTAGGAGGAATTTCTTTTCTCAGAGGGTTGTGAGTTTTTGGAACTCCTTGGCGCTGAGAGCTGTGGGGCAGAATTCTTGTGTATAACTAAAGACCGAGATAGATAGGTACTTGATCAGTTGGGGAATCAAGGGTTATGGGGAAAGGGCAGGAAAGTGGACATGAGGAATGTCAGATGCCGTGATCCTATTGAATGATGGTGCAGACTGGAGGGGCCTAATGACCTACTCCTGTTCCTAGTTCCTAAGGTCTCGTGGTCTCTTTCCCAATATCCATTGTGGTTTCGAGGCATGATAAATCAACAATGTATTTTATATAATTAGACAAAAATGGATATTAGGGAGGGTTTCACCCAGATTATGTAATCTAGATATTGATGGCCTGCCCCCTATCTACAAGGCACAAGTCAGGAGTGTGATAGAACACTCTCCACTTGCCAAATGGGTGCAGCTCCAATAACACTCAAAAAGCTTGACACTGTCCAGGACAAAGTCACCTGCTTGCTTGGCACAAACATTCACTCCCTCCATCACCAATGCTTAGTAGCAACAATGTGTACCATGTACCAGATACACTGCAGAATTTCACCAAGGCTCCTTAAGCAGCACCTTCCAAACTCACGTCCACTTCCACCCCAAAGAGCAAGGGCAGCAGATACATGGAAACACCATCTCCTGCATTTTCCCTGCCGAGCCAAGCACCATCTAGACTTGGAAATATACCAATTTTCCTTCAGTGGGTTAACATCTGGGAATTCCCTCCTTAATCTGGGAACACCCTTCCTCATGTGTGAACCTACACCAAATAGATTGCAGCAGTTCAAGAAGGCTGTTCGTTATCTCCTACTCATGGGCAACCAAGAATGGGCAATAAATAGATCGTCCATGTCCCACAAGTGAATTTATAGTTTCAGAGGGCAGCACGGTGGCTCAGTGGTTAGCACTGCTGCCTCACAGCACCAAGGACCTGGGTTCAATTCCAACATCAGGCGACTGTCCGTGTGGAGTTTGCACATTCTCCCCGTGTCTGCGTGGGTTTCATCCGGGTGCTCCGGTTTCCTCTCACAGTCCAAAGATGTGCAGGCTAGGTGGATTGGCCATGCTAAATTGCCCGTAGTGTTCAGGGATGTGTAGATTAGGTGGGTTATAGGGGGACGGGTTTGGGTGGGATGCTCTGAGGGTTGCTGTGGACTTGTTGGGCCGAAGGGCCTGTTTCCACACTGTAGGGATTCTATGGAATCTAAAAATCATTGGGTGAAAGGAGGGCAAAATGTACAAGAAGCCAGATTCTGAAGGATGGAGAGATGAGAGGGAAGGAAATTGGATGAGGGTTAGTTGTAGGACTGGGTGAGTTTACAGAAGTGGGGTGAGACTTAACCAGACTGTCGCACATATAGCATTCTACTTGACTTAGAACTCCTGAAACAAAGATGAAAGTGTATAAGCATACTGTGCCTTCTTTTCAGCTTCCAAGAGTACTAAACCATTATTCAGAAGGAATAGATCTGCATTTTTGGGTGAGAATTATGAATGATGCATCACCCATATTAGAGGAGGTAAGGAAATTAGCATACATTCTGTACACATGTTTAAGGACACCTGTATAAAGCTTTCTCATGCTCACTAATACTGTTACTGAAACAGTACCAAAAGCTGTAAATTACTCTCATCGATGAACTTGAGTTAGTTTTGTCCTGAATTATATGGGGTGGATCCACACCCACATGGAATTTAAAACTGATAAACAAAGTTAGTACTCTGACTTCATATTAGCTTAAAATTCTTATGGCAATGTGCTATGTGATGCATTCTGTGCAAGTGCAATCACTCCAGCCCATTGTTTGTAAAACTACTTTAGGCAATCAAAACTAATCTAAGAGATTACATCAGGGTTGCCAATACTGGTTAGATCTGTTCAGAGATAGTAAGAACTGCAGATGCTGGAGAATCCAAGACAACAAGGTGCAGGGCTGGACAAACACAGCAGGCGAAGCAGCATCATAGGAGCAGAGAGGCTGACGTTTCGGGCCTAGACCCTTCATCAGAAAAGGGGGAGGGGAAGGGGGTTCCGAAATAAATAGGGAGAGAGTGGGAGGCGGATAGAAGAGGGATAGAGGAGAGGATAGGCGGAGAGGAAACAAACAGGTCGAAGAGGCGGGGATGGAGCCAGTAAAGGTGAGTGTAGGTAGGGAGTTAGGAAGGGGATAGGTCAGTCCAGGGAGGACGGACAGGTCAAGGGGGTGGGATGAGGTTGGTCGGTAGGAGATGGAGGTGCGGCTTGAGGTGGGAGGAGGGGATAGGTGGGAGGAAGAACAGGTTAGGGAGGCAGGGACGAGCTGGACTGGTTTTGGGATGCGGTAGGGGGAGGGGAGATTTTGAAACTTGTGAAATCCACATTGATACCATCGGGCTGCAGGGTTCCCAAGCAGAATATGAGTTGCTGTTCCTGCAACCTTCGGGTGGCATCGTTGTGGCACTGCAGGAGGCCCAGGATGGACATGTCGTCTGAGGAATGGGAGGGGGAGTTGAAATGGTTCGCGACTGGGAGGTGCAGTTGTTTATTGTGAACCGAGCGTAGGTGTTCTGCAAAGCGGTCCCCGACCCTCCGCTTGGTTTCCCCGATGTAGAGGAAGCCACACCGGGTACAGCGGATGCAGTATAGCTCCTTCCTTCATCTACACCCTAACCCCTCACACCACATTCCCATGTTATCTCTTTAATCTGTTCCTCCTGACGAATCACTATCTTCCTACCCCAGTCGAAAAGCATCTAAAATCTTTATGTGACGAGGTGAATTTGATCCTTCTCATCTCATGTTTTGTTTTAGAATCAGCATCATAGAATCCCTACATTGTGGAAGCAGGCCTTTCGGCCCATTGAACCCACACCAACCCTCCAGAAAGCATCTCACTCAGACCCACATCCCTGTACCTTACATTTCCCATGGCTAATCCACCCAGCGTGCACATCCCTGGACACTATGGGCAATTTAGCATGACCAATCCACCTAACCTGCACATCTTTGGACTGTGGGAGGAACCAGAGCACCCAGAGGAAACCCACACAGACATGGGGAGAACATGCAAACTCCACACAGACAGTCACCTAAGGGTGGACTCGAACCGGGTTCCTGGCTCTGTGAAGCAGCAGCGCTTCCTTAATTCATCATTGAATGTGTTTGAAAAGGATGGGAAAAATATCTTAATATCTGTGATTTGTCTCTCAGGCTATACGCAGTCATGTCCTGGAAATTTAGTTATTTAATTCTTGGAGATTGCAGGATTATTTTTGTTCCAAACTTTCCTCATCAGAGGAAATAGTTTTTCCCTATACGCCCTATTGAATGTTTTACTGAATGCAATACCACCATTACATCATAAATGTTATGTTTGAACTCTACAGAATGTTAGCAACAGAAAGGAAGAGCAGTGCCATTCCATGCCATTCATCAAAGGTCTCCCCTGACATATTGTCTCTTTCTGACATTGTCCAATCAGTTTCACGTTTTCACGACTTTCCATTTTGTTTTTGTTTCCAGCGTTCGCAAGATTCTTTTCTTTTCATTGATGCATTTATATATTTATGCGAAGCAAGTGTGAGGGTGATCAACTCTCAAGACGTCTTTTTGTTAAATTGTTCTCCATTTAGTTTATCACAAAGGACAGCGTTCAAGGTTTGCTCCGAGTGATTTACCCATTCTTTACTGAAGATGGACCAGCCACATTCAGTCAGTTGATGGAACTATTATCAAATCTGTTCTGTGGGTATCCTGAAAATGGAGGCTCTCGTGTTTTCTCTTTTAACTGGTATGAAGACAACAATTACAAGGCTTTTCTTGGAATCAACAACACAAAGAAAGAGTCAAAGTATGCTTATGATTACACAACCAGTAAGTCTTTTCTGTAAAACACTACTTTTTCTCGAGCAATTTTAGATAGGGATGAAAATGTTGGATTCTGAAGGACTACAATGTGCACCTTTTGAAGTTCATATTTTGTTGGGCTCGAGTAACCACCATCAGGTTGATTCAGGTGTCTCAACACCTTGGACTGCCTTGGGTTTGAAGGTGTGTGTTCAGGAATGGTAACTCACTTTTCTGCATCCCATCCGATTGGAAAAGCTAAATAACATGGCTACCTGCATGACCACCAATCTTCAGGATCTGGATGTAAAACCCTCAACCAAAAACTCCCACCCACAACATGATTTTGAGCTCTTCCTGGAGCTAGAAATGCAGTCAGATAAAAGTTTAAGAATAGCCTCATTGACTACTGTGCAGGTTCACTGAATCCAGCCAGGACCACCCATGTGTAACCAAGAAGCTCATTAAGAGCGCATTGAGGCCAATTGAAGAGGGCCATGTGGCATTTAGTAGCCATGATTCCTGAGCCTCTGAGTGGCCTTTGCCTAACTCCTAACCTAATAGATGTTACCACCTGCAGAGAGAAGAGTTTTGATAGTGACAGAGTGAAGGTCAAGCATGCATACATACAGGATTTTATGTAATTATGCTCTACTGGAATCTAACATCAGACTGTGATGATACAAATATTTGCTCATTGTAGCTCCGTTCTGTAATGCACTAAATCAAAACATGGAGTCCAACCCTACAACCAAGATTGTGTGGAATGTGATGAAACCACTACTGATGGGAAAGATTCTGTTCGCCCCAGATTCCCCTGCAACCCAACAGCTGATAAAAAATGTAAGAACATGTGATTTTTTACTTTGTTTGGATGACTAATTTTGGTAGTTTCAGTTTTCACCACACTGTATCTAAACAGTATCTATGCACTGTGAAATCCTAATCTCTTCAAAAGTTTGTTCAATACAGAATGTCAATTATGGTTAAAATTAATTACGAATTTTAACACCATGTAAAGGTGCAGACATCAGAGCGGGTTGTTTTTCATTGTCCTAATAATGTGGATGCAAACTTTGTATAAATAAGAATGTGATCTGATAATATTTTAAGCTGTATGCCATTCCACTGACTTGATAAAAAAAAAGTCTACTGAGAGCAGAGACTTAGGTTATCTGCAATTTCCATTGTTAGGCCGTGTTTCTGAGACTAGATATGAAAATGTTAAAAGTTTATGCCTTTAGGAAATGGGTGGACTATATGTCTAGATGTCCTGCTAACTACCAAATACTTATTAGATAACAGTTTTATTGTTTGTTTTCTATGGTCTATGTAAAAAGCCATTTTGTCTGTTGAATCATGAGACATAGTCCTAGTGCCATTGTGTTTGGTTAGAATTTTGAAACGATGTCCTTGCTCAGATGAGGAGAAGCTGGCAAATAGTGACACACATTCCAGAATCTCTGATTTCCAATCTGACACATGTGGATCTTTACATCTGGTCTTTATTATACATGCCAGTTTATGTTACTGACTCAATTTTTCACAGAAGCACATTTACAAGTTTTAACATTGCTGACCCAAGGCAGTAGCAGTTCAGATGAACCTGTGTTTTTACAGAAGCAGAAGTTATTCAGGCCTTTGTTACATACCTTTGACCATTAAATAGTTAAATGCAGCACATAATAATGAAAGTTGATGGAATTTTCTTCACAGGCTAATGTCACTTTTGAGGAGCTACACAGACTTAAAAGGATTGGAAAGATTTGGGATGAGGTGAAGCCTCAGCTGTGGAACTTCTTCCAAAACAGTGTACAAATGAACATAATACGTGTAAGTATTGGTCACCAGGACAAAGTGTGACCTTAGCTGCCAACCAGCTACCACTTAGCTCTTTAGCTTCTGTTACCATGTTTGTTTTGAATGATTGGTTGACTGTGATAGAGATAACGGAAGATTAAAGATGTTTAACATCTTCCTACTTTCATTGTTTGCTCTACCTGGTCTTTTATAGCCTGTTTGTATTGAGTCTGTCCTTTGCATATCCTCACTATATCAATCATGATCATAAATAGTGACTGGTGAGACTATCATAGATGGCTACTTTAAGAATGAATTGTCTATATTGAAACATTCTACAATACCTAATTATTTATAAAAGATTAAATATCCTCATAATGGACATCCCACATGAATGTTGAAGAGGTTTATTTGGATTGTTATTAGAGTGAATGGAGACTGGGTAAGCTTAATCCAGTTCCATGAGAGAATGTGCCGACACCACAATGCAGCCCCTAATTTACTATAAATTGTCACTCTCAGGCTGAGGTGCCATCTGTTCTGGGAAATGAGAAATGCTGAACTGTTGTTGTGAGGGGTGTTTTTCTAATGTTGGAGCTTTGATGTATTGTTGGGTTAAAAAAAGATAAAGAGCTTTGCACTCCACATAACCATTCTATACCTAGCATGGTAATGCTTGAAGGGAATCTAAAATGGAATAGGTTCAATTCCCAGCATCCATATGAGTCTCCATAGGCACAACTTCTCCAACAGATTTTCTCTTTGAAAATGACCTAACGGTAGGAGACAGAGGGTGGTGGTGAAGGGTTGCTTTTCAGACTGGAGGCCTGTCACCTGTAGTGTTCCACAGGGATCGGTTCTGGGTCCTCTTTTGTTTGTCATTTGTATAAATAATTTGGCTGAGAATATAGAAGATATGGCTAGTAAGTTTGCAGACAACACCAAAATTTGTGGCATTATAGACAGTGAGGAAGGTTTTCTAAGATTACCAAGGGATCTTGACCAAATGGGTCAATGGGCTGAAAAATGGCAAATGATGTTCAATTTGGATAAATGAATTTTGGTACAACAAACAGGGCAGCACTTATACAATTATGGCAGGGCCTTGGAAAGTGTTATAGAACAGAGAGACCTAGGGGTTCAGGTACATAATTCTTTGAAGTTTGTGTCACATATAGACTGGGTGGTTAAAAAGGTATGTAGCATTCTTGCCTTCCTTGCTCAAACCTTTGAGTATAGGAGTGGGGAAGTCATGTTGAGGTTGTGCAGGAAATTGGTGAGGCCTCTTTTGGAGTACTGTGTCCAGTTCTGGTCGCCCTGTTATACGATGGATATTATTAAGCTACAGAGGGTTCAGAAGAGATTTACCAGAATGTTGCCTGGTATGGAAGGTTTGAGTTACAAAAAAAGGTTGGATAGGCTGGGACTTTTTTCACTGGAGTGTAGGAGGTTGAGAGGTGACCTTATGGAGGTTTATAAAATCATGAGGGTATAGTTAGGGTTAATTGTCTAGGATGTGGGGTTTCAAGACTAGGGGACATATTTTTAAAGTAAGAGGATATGGAGGTGCTGGTTTTGGAGTGGAGTGGACAAAGTGTGAAGTCACACAACATGAGGTTATTGTCCAACATGTTTATTTGAAATCACAAGCTTTCGGAGTGTAGCCCCTTTGTCAGGTGAAGTGAGAGGGAGGCACACAGAATACAAAATTTATGGGCAGAGAGATCAAGAGCAGAGAGATCAGATCTGTAGACCTTTCAGGATTTTCTCTGCTTTCTTGCACTTCTGCAGACTTTTGATGTCTCTGTTGACATGTGCAATCTTCTTGGAAAACCTTTCCACTTTGAGCTGGCAGCTTGTGGTGTCGATGGTAGCCACGATGTGGAGTTGCCAGTTATCACTCTGCCCTTGATCTTTCTGCCCATAAATTCTGTATTTTGTGTGCTTCACTCTCACTTCACCTGACGAAGGGGTTCCGCTCCAAAAGCTTGTGATTTCAAATAAATCTGTTGGACCTGGTGTCATGTAAAGTGAGAGGAGAAAGATTTTAAAAAGATATGAGGGGCAAATTTTTTACATAAAAGGTGGTTCACATGTGGAATGAACTTCCTGAGGAAATGGTAAATGCGGACACAGTTACAACATTTAAAAAACACTTAGTACATGAGTAGGAAAGGTTTAGAGGGATAGGATTAGGAACAGGCTGGTAGGATCAGTTTGGTTTGGAATCATGTTCAGCATGGACTGGTTGGATCAAAGGGTCTGTTTCTGAGCTGTATGACTCTATGACTATGACCTATTTTTGATCCATTTGTTGCTCTTTATTTCCCACAGGACTCAATAAAAAACCCCACCGTATCGTTTTTCATAAACAGGCAACTGGAAGACATAGACTTGACTGCTAATGACATTCTAAACTTCCTACACAATAGACAATCTATCGAACAAGCAGAAGACATTCCAAACTTTAGCTGGCAAAATATTTTTAATATAACAGATCAACTCTTAAGCATATTCAATAATTACATGGAGGTAAGAAAACAGTCAGATTTAATTGGAACAGGATTGTGCTGCAAATGCTAACTATTTTATGTTGTTTTGACTGCATATGTTAGCTAAGTACAACAAGAGAGTGTTATACATTGACAAACAACTCATCTTAGCATAGGACAATATGAACTTTATAAAAGAAAAACTATTCATTGATTCAAGGGTTTTAGACAAAACTGGAAAGGCCAGCATTTGTTGGCCATAACAGCCCTTAAGAGAATGATAATGAATCACTGGAGTCCATGAGAAGGATTCTGCCACCATGCTGATAGGAAGGGAGTTCCATGATTTTACAAAGAACAAAGAAAAGTTACAGCACAGGAACAGGCCCTTCGGCCCTCCAAGCCTGCACCAACATGCTGCTCGTCACAACTAAAACCTCTACCTTTCTGGGGACTGTATCCCTCTATTCCCATCCTATTCATGTATTTGTCAAGATGTCCTTTAAACATTGATATAGTATCTGCTTCCACTACCTCCCCCAGCAGCGAGTTCCAGGAACCCACCATCCTCTGTGCAAAAAACTTGCCTCGTACATCACCTTTAAACCTTGCCCCTCGCACCTTAAACCTATGGCCCCTAGCAACTGTCTCTTACACCCTGGGAAAAAGCCTCTGACTGTCAACTCTGTCCATGCCCTTCATAATCTTGTAGACTTCTATCAGGTCACCCCTCAACTTCCATCGTTCCAGTGAGAACAACCCAAGTTTCCCCAACCTCTCCTCATAGCTAATGCCCTCCATACTAGGCAACATCCCGGTAACTCTTTTCTGTACCCTCTCCAATGCCACCACATCCTTCTGGTAGACCAGAATTGAACACAGTATTTTGACCCAAAGCCAATGAAGTAACAGCAATATTTTCCAAATCAGGAAGTAATGGTGTTCCCATGTAGCAGTTGACCTTCTTTCCTGTCATATCTTTGACCTTTTAACCTCTATTAGCAAGTCCTCCCAAAATTCAGCTGCCTATATCCTAACCCAGTTCCATTCACCATTCCTTGTTCTCACTGCCTGTGATGGCTGCAGATCCACCTCAGTTTTAAAGTTCTCATTCTCATGCTCACAATCCCCTAAGTCAATGTCTCTATAACCTCCCTATCCCTGAAACCTCATCCAACACTACAGTCCTCTGAGAACTGTGTTCTTCAAATTCTGACCCCACTTCCACCATTGGCACCTGTTCCCTTAGCCTTGTTTTGGAATTCCTGTGCAAACCCTTTTGCCTCACTACTCTCTCCTTTAAGATATTACTTTAAGCGCACCACTTTGCCTGACCCTGCAGTCACATGTCAGTGTTTGACCGATTACACTATCATGAAGCATTTTGAATATCAAAAGTCCTATGTAAATGCACGTAGTTGTTGTGGTGGTGTCCATTTGTTTCAATTTCATTCAAGAAGTCTTTTTCTCGTGGCTCATTTCAGATGAGGATCAACATTCTTTGGTTGAGAAGCTGGAGCTTCAGTGGAATGCTGTGTTTCTATTGCACTTCACTCCAAGATTACTGCAGTGCTCTCAGCTTCTTGTAGTCTTATCTTTAATGTTAATAAAACCAAACTAATTGTGCCAACACATTTTACTTATATCTGTTTGAAAATTGAGAATTACACTGGGTATTTAGATAATCTTAACTTCATTCCCTAGCAACTACATTTACTTCAGTGACCATCCAATCAATAGATAATGTGTCTTGACATTGTGACAACAGTTTAGGATTAAAAGCCATATCAAACCTTTAAGGTAAAGTAATTGAGGGTTAATGTCTCCCAATAGCACACTCAGAAAAAAAGATCAAAGCTGTTATCTAACTCCCAACTCTGTAACACATGACAACTAAGTGAAATGTACCCATTTAATCTGGATCTTTTCTATACTATAGGAATACACCATTCATTATCCCTCTGTGGCTTTAACTCTTGAAAAAAATGTGCCTGGAGAAGCTCCTATTCAATTGATCTTTGCAAAGATCACAAAGTAGATATAAGTGAGAAAAGCCATTCAGATCACATTTGTTCATACACCTGAAACAATCTGCAGTTGTTGCTATCTTGGAATCCATCTGTTTCTTAAAAAAATTCCAAGATTAAGGCCTCTGTTCAAAAGTGAACCTCTATTTGTTGATCACTTTTTACAAGAGAAATTTCCTGATGCCAATCCTCTATTTATCCTCCAGTTTGCAACCTGTGTCCCTTTATCAGACAGTCAAAATTCAGGTTTAAATAGTTTTCCAGATTGGGTTTTCTATTCTATCTTTGAAAGCCACATGGATGGGGAAGAGAATTTGTGGGTGCAGAGTTTTGGGGAATCCAATGCTATTTACCTCTTGGCTTTCATGTCATAATTTGCTCCTTAAAACCTTTTAGAGCAAGTATTTGGTTGACAGGTGGGATACAACATTTTGGAACAATCCTGTGAAATGTCTTTATTACATTAAAAGTGCAACATAAATGCAAAAGTCAAAAAGTCTGATAATTTAGAGACACTGAAGGGGTCACGGCAGGTTAATTACTGGTTTACATTTTAAGCAAATAGTTAGAGGCACCATTAGCTGTTATCTTCTCACTCTGTTATTTGCTAGACTGTGCATTTAAGGTCATAACCTCTTTTGTTATTTGCAGTGTTTAAACCTGGATAAATTTGAAGGCCTTTCTGACGAAGGGCAGCTCACCCACCGGGCACTTTACTTGTTGGAGGAAAACAAGTTTTGGGCTGGGATTGTGTTTACGGACTTATACCCCTGGTCGAACAAGCTTCCAACTCACGTGAAGTATAAAATCCGAATGGACATTGATGCAGTGGAACGAACAAATAAAATAAAAGACAGGTTTGTTTCATTGGTGTGTGTGTACAGAACTCCAGTCAGTGAAATGCACTAACAACTGCAAACCATCAGCAAGTTCATAAAATGCCATAGGGAAAAGTCTCATTCTGGAGACAGAAATGTCCAAACCATAATCTGCAGGCACTGCACCACCTGCAAGCCCTGTTCATCTGACCCACTGACTGCAATAACCTGCTTCTCTCTAGTCTTCCCTGGATTTGGACAACACATTAGTTTAGAATGTGATCAATGATTGAAGAAGAAGCAAAGTATGAGTGTTATTTCTAATGTCATAGGGTCAATTTAACCTTTAATGCCTCCTGCAAATTTCCCAGAGAAGTGTAGGGTATTGACAGGGCAGGTTGAGTGATCTGCATAACCCCTGCCCATCTCTGTCTGTACTGTACATAATTGCAAAGTGTTACGCCTCCTAGTGTTCCATTTTCTCTTATAATGAAGCATACCACTCACTCACACCTCACTCCCCAGGATAGTCTCCATCCCAGGAGCCTAAATCTAAAGCACAGACAATGCTGACAGTACTTAGCAAGCCTGGCAGCCTCTGAAGAGAGAGAATCTCTTATGTCAGTTACCTTTCATCAGAAATCAGGAATGGGGAACAGGGAATGTGTGTTGGATGTGACTTGCAACGGGAACTCCATGAGTGAGTGATAGGATGTAAGATCCAAAAGAAGGTTGCCAAGATTGGATGGAGCTAATCCATAGTTTTGAAAATATTTGGAATGTTTGGCCCATAACATTGTTGGGCTCTTCCAACAGTAAACATTGAGGAGAGTAACAAGTAAATGCACCTTAAACTAAAGACGGGGAACAAAAAAAAATTTAATAGATTCTCTGGCTCTGCTTCACTAATCCTATCCTGTGCAATATTTTTAAGTACCTAACTCTTTTAGAAGAAATCAAAGCCTTTGCTGTACTGGTGTTTATGATGGGTCAAACAATACAATAACTACCATGTCCATTGGCAGAGCCAAGAAGTGCCATTGTTAGAATTCGAGGCATTGAAACAAAATTCTTGAAGCAGACATATTCTCTCCTTGAATTGTAACTCTTATACAAAGTACAATCTTTTGAATGATCCCCATGGCTGCTGAGTCCATTGAGGTTTGGTGCAGCTCTTTCTTCATCATTCTTCTTTGTTTCATGACATTTTGTATTTCTTTATCCCCACCAAACCCTAGTTCAGGGTTGTACATGGCTAAACACAAAATATTTTTATCTCTATCAACTGGGCAGTAATCTGGTAGTGTGGATCACCCACTGTTTTAAAGAACTAATGTGATTTTCATTGCATTTCATTGAATAAATCTACCTCCCAGTGTTCCATTTTCTCTTATAATGAAGCATACCTCACACCTCACTCTACAGTATAGTCTCTATTCCTGGAGCGTCTAGCCCCAGTCGCACTGCCGGCTCTATAGGGAACAGAATACAGGATGGCTTGCTCTCTCAAATAAACAGTAATACAAAAGAAAGTTGGACCGTGTAATCTGATCTTTTCACTAGCGTGAGAATGCATTAGTGCCAAAAGTAAGATTTCTGCTATTATTATAAGTCACTGCGGATAAATCAGAACACCAACTTGGACAAAAAGCCTCATTTGCAGTTGTTGTGATAGTTCAATGGTGGGGACTTGGGCCATACAAATTAGGAAGTTCTTCAAGCTTGATGCCTAGTCTGTACAAACTTACCTGAAACAGCTGAATGGTGCAATCACTCTACATTTTCAGAGATGGAGAGAGAAAAACTAGCAATGACACCCACTCTAATTACAGTCCACTGACTTCTATCAGGAAATGTGGTTGGTGTAGGCAGGAATAGACTAAGGTGCATTATCCCTGCAGTCATTTAATCTGACAGTAATGTTTGGGCCCAGGTGTGCAGAATCTGGTAAAATACTGATGGCAATAGCCTGACGCCCTCCATTTGGACGACAAAATGTTGTCAACACCGTTCATTTGTGCCTTGTCCTTTTGATGTAATGTTGGTGGCACTGGCAAGGGCAACATTTGTTAGCCATCCCTTCCTGTCCTGGAACAGAGTGTCTTTGTTACGCCATCATAGAAGGCAGTTAATGACCAATCACGTTGCCATGGATCTGGAGTCACATAGACTAGATCAGATTTCCTTCTCTAAAGGAAATTAGTGAACGAGATGGTTTTTTAACCACAACAAAGACCGTTTCATGGCCATCTTCACTGAGACTAGCTTTCAATTCCAGCTGCCACGGTGGAACTTTAACCACCGGGTTAGCCTGGATATTTGGATGACCAGTACAGTGCCATTACCATTATGTCACCAGTTTTCCCATAAACTGGCCTAATTGGCCATTTTATCTTCCTCCTTTTCCATGGATGGCCTTGTTAAACCCACCTTTTGTATCCATCCTAAAAACCCAACCCACAACTTCATTCACTCCACTTCTGAAAACTTCACCATTCATGTATGTTCCCATGCTGTCTGGTCCTGTAGCCCTTTCTTTCTGTTCTGTCCTGGCAGCATCTTTAGGCATCTCAAACAAACTATCTTCGATTCTCAGTAAATCCACGTATCCCTCTCGCACTCACCTGATCTTTCAAAGTGTTTTTAAGATTTACCTATCCAGCAAAAGCTTGTCAGGCGTCTGACTCCTTGCTCAGAGTAGCTCAGCAGCTGTCACTTCTTTTCCATTTGAAGACAAGTGAATGTTGGTGAGAATGGACTGGCAGCAGACAGTGATACAGGCCTGGACTTTATGGATCATCTCCACTGCGCAGGGCACAGGGTCAGGGAGTGGTCGGGGCAAGTCCACCCAAAGTCATAAGAGCTGCCCTTCAGCAATTTCTCAGGAGGAAAAGCCAGCAAAACTTGTACTGACACATACTAGTCTGTTCCCTCTTCCATTCCTCAAAATGAAGCTCTAGTACAATCCAAGTATAATTTGGATCCCTCCGGTCAATGCAGACAGAAGTGTCAATTACTTTAAGAAGGGACTGCCACCCCTTTCTGAGGAGAAAACCCACCCCTGAGAGTTGCCAGCCAATCAGATGACTGACTGCTCTGTAGTCTCAGCAGTGCCACTCTGATATAATGGCCATTGGTGGGACAACAGGCTGCCCCACCAATTAATCTATATGTCATGTAGTTTCAACGAATGTTTGTCCCTCAGGTATTGGGACCCAGGTCCGCGAGCTGACCCAGTAGAGGATATGCGCTACATCTGGGGCGGTTTTGCTTATTTACAAGATATGATTGAACACGGAATTATCAGGACTCACACCAACATTGAGGTGCCATCGGGAATTTATGTCCAACAGATGCCGTATCCCTGCTTTGTTGATGACATGTGAGTCACGTCATATTTGGTGCATTTAGTAAAGTTTTCCTCATTGTTTTTGAAAATTGCCGTAACTTCAAAACTTTGAAAGTGACTGCTGCTACTAGCTTCATCCAGTGACAGCACGTCGTGGGGATCCAGGTGACATTTTCTGGCCTGAGTCTTCGACTGGTGGCTCACCCTGGAAGAACTAAAGCAGAAAGTTAGCCTGTATATACTGCCCTAAATGAAGGTGGTCTGTTGTAAGTAGTATTAGAGGTTAAATGTTGATGCTACATGTTCTGTACGACGGTTATGTTAGGTCATCCATGTTCTGCAACACACCGTGATCCACCCTTCATGCTGCTACTTCAGAGTTTGGGCACAGTCTATCCTGTTCTTACAGCTTAATAAATGTTGTATTAAATCAAACACTGATAGTGGAAGTCTGAAATTAAAAGGAAAAATTGCTGGAAATACTCAGCAGATCTGGCAGCATCTGTGAAGAGAAGAACAGAGTTAATGCTTCAGGTCTATGACCTCTGCATTTTGGTAAAAGATCGTTGATCTGTAACATTGGTGCGGATTTAATGCGGCTCACCAGAGTGAGCTATATTGGTGTGTAGGTCCCTAAAATCATAGAAGAGATCAAAAATTGCAGTACCACTCATGTTGGGAAAACTGACTGCAATAAATCAGTGGCAGGAGTGGGTCATTGTGTGGAATGTGCTCCCTGGCTAGACAGATTTATATTGAGTCACTGAACATTCATTATCCCCGAGTGCACCTAGATTTAGTTATGGCATCCGAATTCTCCCAAAGCCACATGGGTTTCTCCTGAAGGCTATTCCTTTGGGGCCCTCTTTCAAAAGCATTTTGTGCCACTGGAGGGATCCAGCAGCAGGAAGTAGGGATGGGGGTGTTGGGGGGAATGATTACCAGATGAGAATACTCCTTTTGCCTAATCACCCTCTGCCACACCCACCAGTGAGCCCCCCTACCCACTCCACTTCCCTTGCTCCCACAATGATCTTCAGTGAAGGCCTCAGTATAGCACAAACACTAGCCACCAGGTGCTGCCTCGGATTGGCTGACAGCTCCTGGGGCTGAGATTGCCTCGCTCAGCCTTCTAGGGAATGACTATTATTGGGATATTCCCCACTGAAGCAGCATGGGCTTCCCATTGGTTTCCTGACCAGAGGGTGCGTTCCACATTAGGAATATTAAGTCTAAAGATGTGCAGGTTAGATGGATTGGCCATGCTAAATTGCCTTGTAGTGTCAAGGGATGTGCAGGCTAGGTGGGTTAGCCATGGGAAATGAGGGGCTACAGAGATAGGGTGGGGCAGTGGGTCTGGGTAGGATGCTCTTTGGAGGATCAGTGCAGACTTGCTAGGCCGAATGGCCTCTTACCTACACTGTAGGGATTTTATGATTCTATGATTCAATAACTCAGTTTCTGTCTCCACAGATACTCTCAACCTCGTTAGTATTTCCAGCACTTTTTGTTTCTGTTTCAGAATGTGTAGTGTTGTCTGAAAACAAATTCACAAGCAATTTAATTTGAATTTATCATAAAAATATATGCTGTTGTTCAATAAAATGGAAGTAAAATGAACTAGGGCAGAATAAATCTACAAAGCTGGCTCTCATGGCCCTTATAGTGAGGGATAATGGAATCTGAATTCAGCAAATTGTGTGAAAGCTGATAAAAACAGCATCTGAGAAACTAATTCTTGAAGTGGTATATGACGATTTCAAATGAAGAGGGCAAAGAAAACATGGAAATGAACAATGTAGAAAACCTAGATGCTGCCATTAAATATTAAATATTATTTTCTTTTTTGAAATATTTTTCACTAAATACGCTTTTCTGCTGCAATTTTTCCTGTTGCACCTGTCCTTCCCATTGCCTCAACGTGCCTGCTAATTCTCATCCTAGCTTCATGCTAGCGTTAACCCGTTGCTTCCCAATTTTTATGGTGCTCTCCTGGATCTACTCCGTCTCCATGATTGTGAAGAGTATTGTGCTTGAGAAGGAGCTGAGGTTGAAAGAAACCCTGAAAATCATGGGAGTCAGTAATTGGGTGCATTGGGTCGCATGGTTCATCGACAGCTTCGCCATGATGGCAGCCAGTACAGTGCTGGCATCCATAGTGATTATGGTAAGAATTCAGACCTACACACAATCCAAACACTTAGCATTCATCAATGGGGAGGTAATGGCCTAGTGGTATTATCGCTGGATTGTTAAACCAGAGACCCAGATTACGTTCTGGGGTTAAAATTGTTTCAGAGATAGTAGGAACTGCAGATGCTGGAGAATCTGAGATAACAAGGTGTAGAGCTG